ATTTCTTACTAAAGAACCTATTTTAATGATGTCACATGCAACATCATCCTGAAGAATTCGTACTGCCTTTTGAAAAAATAAAGAAAATAGCTCATCAATATTTGTTACAAATATATTTTTCAAAGCCCACACTGACATCTAAGCACAATAATGAAAATTCTATGTAGGGAGGAAGAAAGGGAGGCAGGCAGGGATGGACGGGTGCAATGTTATATGTTGTCTTGAATGCTAGCACAAATAAAGCAAAATCTCAGTAACTCTAAATTTACCTGTTCAAATGAAACACTCCTTGCTAATAGTTTTATTAGGTCTCTGGCCCTAATGATGATATAAGGATCAAAAGTCTTCTTTGTTGTACAAACAGTCATGCTGCCCTCGATCAGGTCCAGCGTTGCATTAACATGCTAGAAGAAGTAAAGAGCAAACAAGCAGTTGTCTAAAAATGAATTTAATTTTAGATAATTATAGAGCCTATTCTAATCTATTAATTACTGTGAATTAAGCTCTCTCTAAAATTCTATCAACTCCCTCCCTGAAGAAGGTAGGTAGTTAATATAAAAAATTCTTGATTATTTTCATACTTCAAAGAATACAGAAACTTAGGCAACTGAAACCATTTATACTTACTTGACTTTAAAAAACTTTTTACTTACTGGGATAAAGATTATCTCTAGTTTAAAATAGCTATCTATAGATAGATAGATAGATCGATAGATAGATAGATAGTTGGGATAAAGATTATATCAATCCAAATAAGGCCTGACTTAAGACTTAGCTAAGGTAAAAAAATATATAAAGATACGTGGGCTCAACTCTAATCCAATCCAAATAAGGCCTTACTTAAGACTTAGCTAAGGTAAAAAAATATATAAAGATACGTGGGCTCAACTCTAATCCAACATTTGTTCCTTAGGGTGAACATGGGCTTTTCCTTTCAAGTTTTTTCAGGCTGGTATGTATTTTCTAAGTATAAAGTAAAAATAAATGATCATAGGTTCAGAAAGAAGCGATAATTACGCATCAACTCTCAATAGTAAGAACCAGATTTCAACAAAGTAAATAAACATGCTAGTTTCTGACTTGCGAGCATATTCTGAAAAATATTTCAACATAGTAAATGAAGAAATATTCAACAGAAGGTTGAGTCTCTAAGAGTTTACAAAAAAAAAAAAAAAAAGAGTCCAATCTCAGATGTAGACAGCAGTAAAATACTGCTTGCAGTTTGCTGAGCCACCCTCATACCCAATGGGCACAAACGATTACAGAGCAGTCCCACGGTTCAAGAAATATATTTTATATCACAACTTAGTACATATATAAATATATACACACATATAAATGAACCAAAAGCTTCGTAAAATGATCCTTACTACATATGATACATTCATTTTTTAAAGACTCATTATACTCACAACTTCTGGATCCATTAATGGATTTCAACCCACAGTTTGAAAAACAAAAATACACTGTTCTAGGTGCATGGCAGCAGCAACAAATAGGAGAAAGTTGGCACATCCACATCTTCCATTTAAAATAAAAATCAAGCAATTAGACAGAAATATGCCTCAACTCAAACTGTACAGGTACATGGCAACCACCATAGCACACAGTAGGCATCCTAAAACTTGAAGTTCACAGATGAGTTTCAGACAGTGCATGAAATCTTTACAATTTTAAACGTATGTAAATTTTTCAAAGTAATCTATTACACAACTAGAGACAAATGGATTACAAGAATAAAGCTTATCTAGGCTGTTTAAAATACCAAAAGAACAAAATTTACCAGTTAGGCCAGCATCTTTAAAAAAAATCCACCAGCACACATATACTTACTTAAAAGTGAGAGTATAAGCAAGAGCAAAATCTCAAAGAAATATAGAAAAAATATGCATACATGTTCATTCAAGGCTTTCTGTACCAAGGGCCAGCACTCTTTCAAGTAAGCCTCTCTATATTTTGGGAACAAAGTTGCAAAACTGCTCTCCTCCAAGAGTCCTCTGGGATTGTCCTCTTTAGAAAAAGCTGGTTCCTTCCAACCATCAGGAACAGTGAGGAGTTCTGATTCATCTACAGGAAAAAATTTACGCATCAGATTTTAACCTACTTTTGGACACTTTCTGAACATTTATACGCATACACTTACAAGCTTCCCAATATTCTCCTTGCATTTCTTCTTATGCCTTTCAGATTATTCAACAGTCAAAGAACAGCCCTCTATCATTATCATCAACACACTGTATTCAAATGAACTGTAAAGAGTTCAGTCTCTTCCTACGACAAAGTTCCTTAAGCTGCCCTTCTTGGATCCACACTAATTAGCATATGCCTGACAGATAGTGGGTACTCAAGAAACTTTTATTACAATATGCTATGTTAGAGTTGAAGATTCAAATACCACTTTGTTTATAAGACTTTTAAATATTTTCTGATTTTACTGGTGAAGCCTGAATATGTGTATATATGTATATATTTGCATGTGTGTGCATGCATGTAAAACTTTTAAAAGTTGATATTCTGGTGTACACTTTCAGTTAATAATCACTGGTAAGGGTTTTAGGCTTTCCAAAATTTTCATGTTCCTTATTTCTGTATACTCTTCATGACAACTATTAAAGGTGGGACGAACCAGTACTATATTTCTCATTTTATAAGACTATCAGTCCAAAAAAGTGAGTGGCGTAAGGGTACACAAAGGTCTCCTCTCATTAAATCAAAATGCCTCTGAAAGGCCATAGCTTATCTCTCACATTGTTTATCAAAACTCCTGGTCCTGGATTTTATGAACCTCTTAAATCCAACAGCTATACTTTAAAACAATACTACTCAAAGTATGACGCATAGCCCTGCACCATCGGCATAAGCTCCAAGTGTGTTAGAAATGCAATTCTTGACCTCCACCCCAGACCTACTGAATCTGAATTTCAGGGATGAGGCCCAAGAATCTGTTTTAACAATCTCATCAGGAGATTCTAAAGTCTGAGAAGCTGGTCTTCACAATCTATATTAGCCACCCCAGTCATGTAAACATGCTGTTTCTTATACTCACATCCATACTGCTATTTCTGGTTCAAATCACAGAGAATTAGCTAGTCTTCATATAACATTCACTTCTCAACAACCTCAAGATCTACAACTGTCATTACTTAATATACACATCTGACCAAATCCTTACCCAATTTAAACACTTCAATGGCTATGGGGAAAAAAAAAAATTGGTGAAAAATACACAGGCAGTTCACAACAGAGGAAGTGCAAACAGCCCAAAAACATATGAAAAGATGTGCAACCTCGCTAGTAATAAAGTTCATTATTCCCAACTAGATACTATTTTATACTTACCAAAATGACAGAAATTCAAAATTTAGATAATGCCGTGTTAGTGTGTATGTAGAGCAATGAGAACTCTCATCCACTACTAGTGGGAGTGTAAACTGGCACAAAACTTTTGGGAAAGATTTAGCATCACCTGCACATATTCTGCACTTCAAGGATTCTAGTCTCATGTACAAAACCTAGAGAACTCTTGAACAAGTAAACCAGGAGATATGTGCAAAGATGATTAGAGCAGCATTGTTTATAATAGCAAACAATGAAAACTGTCCAAATGTCTACCGATGGTAGAATGAAAATGTAAATTAGTGTATGTTCATACAAGGGAACATCATATAGTAGCGAAGAAAATAAACCAGCTTCGAGTATTGCCCAGATTGTTAAAACAAAGTTAAGCCTAAGAAGCAAGACAGAGAAGAAAGCCTAAAATCCTTTCATTCGTATATAATTCAAAACCAGGCAAAATTAAATCATTTTGTGCATAGGTGATAAAAGAACAGAGTGATCAACACGATTTTGAACAGTTACTTCATGTCTCACAAAGAAAAAATATGATGAGCCGTGCTTGCAGGAAGGTTTTGCGGTATGGTAATACTTTATTCTGCTCAATGGTCTGAGTGCTCCTTTATCACATTTTTTTCTTTAAGCTGTACATATACCGTACTCTGCTAGGTACATTCATAATTAAAAACAACAAAACATCTTTAATACCTTTCTAATGCCTATGGAATGACGAGTTCAAAGATTTTTAACACTTACAATAAGGATGGTTGCTCAGGCCCTGGGCTCGTCTCTTCCCGCATTCATACTAAAGAAAATGGGTAAAACCTGACTATAAAGCAAAACGATTTAAAAGCAAGGCAGTCTAATGAGTAGGAGCTATGTCATCTGATATTTTAGCAATCTGACAAACAGGAATAGTGATAAACGTCTCAAAATTTCTTCACTGACAAACTAGCGTTCAGGACACGCCAGATGTCGTGCATTATCGTCTGTCTCACTTCTTCATTATCACTCCTCCATTATCGTCTGTCTCACTTCTTCATTATCAGCGTTTACGCAAATACATAACGACCTCCTACTCCTACTGCATCCCTCATTTTATCAACAACTTCCAGTCTTCGCCGCGAGTCTAAGGTCCGGCAGTACCCTCTGCAATTTCTTAGTTCTCACCATTTTATGGAAGACGAATTCCGCAACATTTTCACTTTGGGGGGCCTCTAGCAGAAGCGATTAGTTAGCAACACGTGGCCAACACCATATCGGCCAGAGGTTTCGCAGGTCCAGTCAATACCCCCAAACGCCAACAACTATAGGCACTCAACTTTAGAGAACGATCTCAATGCGTCCTCACACGTTCCCAGCAAGCGAAAGAAAACAACTGCAACTCAACATCCAAAGCCAAGCTTCAGTTCTCACACCTTACCTCGGTCATCCGGCTTCGGCTTCTGGTTACGAAGTTCACTTTTCCCAGGCGCTCTGGTCGGCTCGTTAACTGGGGAGGACGCCATCTTCAATTCGCTTCCTGGGTTACCGGAAGTGGAACTGTTCTTAAACTCTTCCGGCTAGAGTCCCTATACTCAAAATGAGTTCTGCCGACTCAGACGACATCTGCGCAGTCTCCGTGCATACGTACGCTTGAGCCCGCGTATTTGCACAAACTACAGCGTTTCTCCATTGGCCACATCGGAGGCTGCTTTTCCAGGATGTCCTGCAGCCATGGAGTTTGACTGCGTGCCGGAAATTGTAGTTCAGCACGGTGAGCTAGTTGTAGACGATTTTATCTGTAGTTTTTCCGTGGCATCAGAGTCTAACCTGGGACGACCGACTCCACGGTTTTCGCTGCAGAGTGCAACCTATAATTGATGTCACTCATCCATAAATATTTGTATGATCGTCATAGACGTGGTAGGCGTTGGGAGGAGATACGAATATGAGAATACATGGGTCTCGGCAGGAAGTAATAGCTACCATTTATTGCTAGACTACTTTGTGTGAGGTACTTTATGTGCATTATATCTAATCCTTAAAACCAAAGTTGTAAAATGAGGAGACCAAAGTTAAAACAAGATTGATAATTTTTTGGAAGATAAGTTTTAAAAATTCTTATTTTTGATGGTAATTTTCTACGGTCTTGGTATTTCTCTTTCCTAGCCAGAAAGATCGTAATTAAGTAACACTTCTGAATTGGGGAACCAAGAATTCCCAAAATGACTAACTCCTGTCTACTCCAACACTGCATATGGCTGACTTCAAGACTGAGGTTCATCACTACTATAAATCTTTACACTTCTGGGAATCTAAAAGTTTTTAGATTCGCTAAAAATAAGCCTTCTTTTAATGATTGGTCTTATTGTTTGCCTTTAAAAAATTTTTTTTTCTGCAGCACAAATAGGGTAAGTTTGATAGATTGAATTTCTTGCATCAGTGAAATGGGGAACATTTATCTGAAATCCACTATTATGTATCTTCTATAAAAGATTTTTATAAGGTACATGTATAAAACAGACTACTACTTAGGGACAAGATCTCAAGATGCATTATTATGTTAAGATTTTTGTTTTTATCCTGTGTGTCTTATAAAAGGCAATGATTTCATAGACATATTCTTAAAACTTGCTCAAAAAATGACAATTCCCTATAATAGAATAAATAACAGGTGGAGGTTATAAAATGAGAAGCAATTCCTTCAACGTTCCCAGAAACCCTATGAAGCAGGGTTTGTTTCTTTGTTTGTTTTTTATCTTTATTTAAGGAACTCAGTCACTAATAAGTTGTGAGTTAGACTTCAAGTCCAGGCAATCTGACCATTAGTACCTCTGTTGCGGGGGCTGGGTTCTCAGTCTTATAGCTTTTGGACTGGAGCTACAACAGCAACCCTTCCCTGGGTCTCCAGTCTGCTGGCCCATTCTGAAGATTTTGAACTTTCTAGGCTTCCATAATCATATGTATCTACTGTCTATATATTCTGTTCTCTGGAGAATCCTGACTAATACAGCAGTTTATAGTAGAGCAAATCCAAATGGCTGATAAACATTATACTCAAACTCATTCCTGTTAGAAAAGTATATAGATATAACAATGAAAACTAATTTCTCACTCACCAGATTGGCACAAAAGAAATAATAAAAATATTTTTATGATAATCTGGAGGAAAGAGCACTCTCATACAGGCAATTTAAATAACAATACAGTTGTAAATTTATCACAATTTACATGATTTTATTTTAATATCTTCGGAAATCTGAATATAAAAATGTACTCAAATCTACAAAGTTATTCCCAGAAATTGCACAAATAAGACCAAAAAGAGAAAAACTGCTTTCTCTAGTTTCTTGAAGCAAATCTGGCCTGGAAAGTCCTCTCTGGGTCACAGAAACAACAGGCCGACCCATTTTGATTGTAACTTTTCCCTCGCTTGGCCTCTTAAGCAACCTGGACCCACATGCAGCCACCCTAGAGGTGATGTGTTTCACCAGCTCTTAACCTGCTTGGTCATTTTCCCATGCAAAGCAAATTGGCTTTACAACTCTTCTTTGGAATTAGAAACCCGAATTCTCACAAAATGAACCCAGAGGGTATGGGCAGAGAAGTCAGGATGTGCCTTAGCAATGTCTGGGGAAATGTACTTAGCTTTTATTAAAAAGAGCAGTAACACTGGTCAAATAAACATGATTTATTTTCCATTTAACATTTTTATACTCATTTACTGGGGATAAAAATGATTTTTCCACAGTAATCGATTTTTTTTTAAATAAGCAGTTGAGAGAATTTCTCACATAGGGTTGAACATTTTTTATTTTCTAATATACATAAGCCGCTTTCTATTCCAGTCAACCTCACAGAAGATTTATAATCTTAAATCAACATTTATCTGTCAAAATCAATAACAGTAATAATTATTATGGCTGTAAAAATAAGGCCTCTTCTAACTCCAAGTGATTACATAATAAAATAAGGATCTAGTGATAACTGTCAAGAAGAAACACAATAAACCAGCACCTCTATAAACTAATCATGTTATTAACCTATATTTAGAAAAATGTCAATAAAAGTGTGGTGTTCTGCATCAAAGCCTAGGAAACCTGGGAATCTAAAAGAGAGAGCAAATTTGAAAAGCATTCAAGCAATCATGGACTGTTTTCTGCTGTTCAAAAAGATGTTTCATTTGTCATTACCGTGGTTCATGCTGACAAGAAATATCCTTGCAGGGTATCCACCTCTTCCTGCAAAGTTTGTTGTAGCCAACTCTAGATTAGGAGATATGGTGTACTGCTTTGGCTGCTAACCAGCTCTTTGATCTTGGATAAACAACTAACTTCTGTTTCTTCAATTGTACAATTAGTGAGTTAAGCTAGATTACTATTTCTTAAACTTTAGCCAACCTCAGAATCAAGTGGAGGGTTGGCCCCACTACCAGTGTATAGTTCAGTTGATCTGGGATAGGTAGGACCTGACAACAAAGAATTTTTCAACCCCAAAATGTTGATAGTGCCAAGGTTAAGAACCTGGAGTCTATAGATGTCCTTAATTTCTGTGATTCTACTTCAGAGGACCAGTAAGTGCTTTCCTCCTAACCAGGCATGCCATGAAAGCAATGTTATTTTCCACTCTTTTTACCTACTTAGGGCAGAACTTGCCTGATACCAAACGCCAAAGTTTCCAGATGGCTGTTCATTATTATGTGGGGCTCCTTGGTGGGCAATCCTGCTCCATGTCTCTCAACTCTGCCCCTGTCATTCTGGAATTCAGTTGTCTCATTACTGGAACAAACAATGGAAATTGTACATGCGGTGGATGCTTGGGGTCTAAAGACTACTTGAATATTAGTCTCTTTAGGCCCCAGGCACACAAAGTATTAATATTACATTGGGAATCTAATCTAGCCTTTCCTACTATTTCCAGGGCAGTTTTTGCTCTTTCTCTTCCTGAATTGTTCTTATTGGTAAGCAACAGCTTTGATTTAATTTTTAGGATAATATTCTCCCTAAAGGGAAGCTGGAACACATTTTACGGTATTAGATTCCACATAACAACAGAAGGCTTTTTAATGCATGCATGAATATTCAAAATTTAATCAGTGGCATATGAAATGTAGTAATACTGCTGAGAATTATTATTTTATGCAAATAGAACAAGCAAAGTACGATCTTTTATTTGTTTACATGTCACTGGAGGAATATTTGAACTTTTTCAGGAAGCAGATTTCTGGTCATTTTTTAAATCTATATGCCTCTCCCATCCTTCAGTGGTAACTGTAGATGGCCTGTGATGAAATGAACTTTTTAGATGAAAAGTATTTTAAACATGTAGTGGGTTTATATTTAAACAAGTCATTTCATGATGTTAATAAGATGGTAACATTGCTTCTTTATTGTTTTAAATTCTCTAATTAAAAAGTCTAGCACCTGACACACAGAGACATGAAAATTCAGACTTTAACACTACATTTTTGCTTTGATCACCTAGAAGTGATTTTAACCTCTTTTGGTTCACCAATCCTTTACTCATGTGATGAAATCTATGGACCCTTTCCCCAGAAAAGGACATGTATTGGGGTACATATAACATTTACCCACAATTTGATGGGATGTTCACATATCTATCACTCTTCCATTAAACCCTGGAGGATCAGGCTATTAGGTTAAGGACTCTGCCTTAGAGCAACATGGAAGAAGTGTCTCATAAGCCCAGATCTGATCTCAAGTACTCGAGTCCCCTGTCCTTAGAGCTTCCCAGGAGAAGCAGAGGAGATGGAGGGGCTCCTTTACCTTAATAAATAAGCACATGCCTTTTACAATGAGAATTTTAGTATGCTTTCATACTTGCATATAGGTATACTTCTCAAGATTCTTTTGACTTCCAAGTTATCAAAACTCAAAGTAACAAAAGAAGTGGACTTATTGTCCTACATAGCTGAGAATGGGATCTAGGACCTTAACGTTATGTTATAGAGACATTTATGCACTTTCTCAATCGCTCTCTCTTCCTCCCTCTCCCTCTCCTCTTGCCCCCTCCACCCACTATCTTTTGGCTTTGCTTTTTCTGTGTTGTCTTCTGAAGCAAAGCTGTCTACCAGCAGCTCCAGGATTAAATCTTCAATAGAAGAAGAGTTTCTTTCTTCCTAAGAGTTCCATCAAAAGTCCCAGAAAGACTCTCTGTGGCCATTCCTAGATCCCTGCGGGACCCAGAGGTGAATCACACCCATGTAAACCATGTGGGCTGGGAATGGGAAGGAATGACTTCTAAGTGAAAATTGAGAACTATTGCTAAAAGAACAAGAATGGATGCTGGCCAGAGAAGCAAAAACAACGTGTACTGCGGTAAGTGTAGTAAGTTATCTAAGGAATTAATAGATTTTCAGGTTTTATTCATCACCATCCCTCATTCCCATGCCACCATTTTATTAAAAATAAGCCACACACTTAAAGAATTACTTAGGCCCAGTAACAAGATAGATGGAGAAGGTATTTGCTAAAATTTTATTTGAGGAAGTGAGGGTAATAGTTTTACATATTTGCTGTGAGGTTTTAAAACATGCATTGATTAGTCTAATAAGTTGGTCTATATATCTCCAGGCACATGTGGTGATATTTAAAATGTGATCTGCTCTAATAGTGGTGTAACCCCCTTTAAAATGATTATTCCCCCATGTAGCATTTTTCCCGGCTGTATTTTTTTTTTAATTTAAAAAGAATAAAAAAGGAAAATGCAAGGAATTATGCAACCATCATCCAAGACTCATCCACTTGTAATTAATAAATGTTAACATTTTTGTCATTTTTGTTCTAGCTTTACATAAATGTGTATATAATAAAATCTTACATATATGCAAAATGAAGTCACTCTCTCCACAGTCCTATTTTTCTATTTTCTAGAGGCAATAACTATACGATTATATTTTTTAATGAACTATTTCAGACTTATAAAAAGGCAGATAGACTAATATAACAAATGCTTTGTAGTCATAATTAAACTTAAAACATAAAATATTGCCAATTAAAGCCCTTGTGCACTCCTCTCTAATTTCATTCCTTCCCTTTTACATCAGAGGTGATCACTTACATGTGTTGGATGTTTATCACTTCCATGTATATTTCTGTTTGTATGGCTACTATATACTCACTCACAGACACGTACAAACAATCTTTAAACAAGACAAAATAGGCTTTAAATATTTTACATATGACCTATTTACACATTATATATTAATAAATATGTATACAATTGTAAGTATTTTATATACATATAAAGTATATATACAAACATATATATGCTGTATGTACTTGTGCAACTTGCTTTTTATTATGGAATAGTTTGTTTTGAGATTTACTTATACTGAGTCCTTGTAATTCTAGTTTATTCATCCATGGTATATAACTTTTGAAATTAGTTTGTAAAAGACATAGCAGCTTCTCTCTCTTCCTCTCCCCTGCCCCTTCCTGCCTCCTTTCTCTCTCTCAGATGTTTGCCTCTCTCTCAGTAGCTGGAAGAAGCCATCTACTATGTCTTGAGCAGCCCTATAGGGAAGTCCATGTGGGAGGGAACTGAAGCTTTCTCCTATCAGACTCATGAGAGAGCTTGGAAGAACATCCTCCAATCTAGTCAAGCTTTCAAATGACTGTAGCCCTGACATCTTTATTGCACCCTCCTGAGAGACCCTGAGCCAGAAGCATCCAGCTAAACAGCTCACAAATTCCTGACCTTCAGAAACTATATAAATGTTTGTTATTGTAAACTGATAATTTTTACGTGTACATAACTAAAACAGTATTAAAGTAAGTCTAAGCTTTTATCAAAACATCAGATTTGATGGGGTATAGAAATGACTGACACTTTTTCTCAGAAGGAATATTTTTTCTTGACTCTTGCCACTAGAGGGCAAAATGGCCCCAAACGATGGCTTGAGTTAACAAAAGACTTTCTATTTCCATAGAATAGCAGATGTCAGAGATGCAAAAAACCTTAGAGATCATGTGGTCTAGTTTTAAGTCGCAGGTAGAATCGTAACACCCAGAGGTATTAACTGATGTGTGAAGTCACACAGACTTAGGTCTAAATGTGCAAATTCAGCTGCATTTAATAACATGCAGATCTAATAACTTAATCAAGTGTTGTTTTTAAAAACCACAAGGTATAGAATAAAGAGAGAGGGCTTTTTAAAAAAATCCTCTCTGTCTTAATAATATTTCTAAGATCAAAAACTTATAATAACAACTATTCCCATTTATCGGGAACCTATTATGAGGCACTTATCATACATTATGTGCTACGTGTCTCCATTTAATCTGTACAACAGACCTTTGAAACATACCCGTCAATGCATGAGGGCCAGGACATATAGCTAGAAAGAAGAATAACAAATTTGAATTTAATACAGGTTAAATCTCATTATAATGATTTTGGGGGGACAATTCAGTTTTGATTTTACCAGAAGTTTTTTCTCCTAGGAATATTTTAAAATGTTAAGGCATATAAGTGGTTGCCATATAGCATTGGAAGAGAAAAGAGAAAATAATCTTGATGACTCATTTTTTCCCAGAAGGTTTCTCTCTGTCTCCGTCTCTGTCTCTCCCTCTCTCTCCCTTCTCTCTCTCTCTCGCGCGCTCTCTCTCTCTCTCCTCACACACACACACACACGCTCCCAAATACCTTAGTTGCCTCTTCCCTTCATTCAAGCTGACCAGCTGTATGATCTTCGTTCACCTTCATAGAGATTCATTTTTTTCAGTCTTCATTCCTAAAATGAAAATACACCTACTTCCTTCAAACTCTCAACAGGGCTGTTGTGATGATTAATGAGGGTCTTTTTGTATCCCACTGGATTTTGTAGAAGACAGGTGTTTAATAAAGCTGAAGAATCATAATGGTAATTAGTCATAATTTAGGACAGATGGTCAGGTGTCTGGAAATAGTGACTTGGCTGGAGCTGTCACTATACCAAAGCAATGAAATAATGTCAGCATGTCATCAGCATCAAGTTAGGAGTGAAGAGGGTGCAATATTTGCCTACCTCATCTACTGTTATGTTCATTATTCCTTCCTGACACTTACTGGTACAATAGTCAAAGCAATTTTAAGGCAGTCAGGCAAGCAACCTTAAACCACCTCATTATGTGATATGTAGTCTCCAAGATAGCCACCTTAATGCTTTCTCTCCTTGTATATGCATGCCACTCCTCACACCAAGAAATTGAGCCTATTTCTCCTCCCCTTGAATTTGGATTGGCCCTGTAACTTACTTAGACCAACAGTATGCTGTGGACCTGACTACTAATTCCCAGTCGAGCCTTCAGGAGGGCTAGCAGCTTCTGCTTCCTCTCACTCAGAAGAGCTGCAGTGTGAGAAGTTTAGCTACCCAGAGATCACCTTGCTGTGTGGATGCCCAAGGTAGCCATGTGTAGAGAAAGAGACAGGACATGCTTGGCCAGCTCTCAGATGTTCCAGTCATCACATCTGACAATCTTCACAATCACATGAGTGAGTGAAGAAGAAATTTAGATATTTCAGCTCCAGTAGATAACCACATGGAACAAAAGAACTGTCCAGCCAGATTGCAAAAACAAGAGAATTAATAAATATTTGTTTTAGGCCATTATGATCTCAGGATCTTTGTTACACAGCAATAGATATTTGACCTATCGACATTTAAAATAGGATCATATATCTCTTGATGTCCTCACTTTGCTAATTGAAATAGAAGATTCTTTCAGAGAAATGAAATGAGAAAAACAAATAAGTGTGGTAAAATAGGGTAATTCCATTTTAGAGGATACAGTTTTTAGCTTCATAAAAGTCCTGGTAAAATAGAGCATTTATTCCTTCATTCACTCATTTAATCATTCTCAATAAATATTTGTTGAATAGATTTATTGTCCATTGCACATCTGGCACAGTTCTAGGTATAGAGTACATAATGCTAAATGAGACACATAAGGTTCCTGATTTTATGGTGCTTAACATCCTAATTGGGAAAGACAAATAATGACCACATTGAAAAGATTACATCAGCTAATGATAATATAATTGAGAGGGTGGTACTGTGATAGCATAGTCTTTCTAAGAGTCCCTCACTAATGCATCAGCAGTAAACTAATAGAAGAAAGAAAGAAAAGAAGGAAAGAAAAAGAAGAGAAGAGAGAAAGAAAGAGAAAGGGAGAGAGAGAAAGAAGAAGGAAGGGAGGGAGGGAGAGGAGAGAGAGAGAGAGAGAGAGAGAGGAGAGAGAGAAGAGAGAGAGAGAAGAAAATGTTCCCTCTGAGCTTGTAATACAGCTTAGTTATCTGCAATCTAATTAGCAGTTTCTCGGTAGGAGTATATACTCACAATTCAAGATGTGGGCAGAGCCCTCCCATTTGGGATTTTATGTCTGTTGATTTGCTAACACTGAAAGGGATCTGATAAGGAAGGATTTTTTTTTCTCCTACCTTATGAGCTTTGGGGGAGCTAAAGGTGGGATGTGCTAGCCCTGGAGGAATAGGTGCTGTGCTGGCCTTGGCCCTATTAACACGGTCTGAACCATGACCATTTCTGTGCTTAAAATGTTTGAATTAGGAAAGAAACAAAGAAATCCTAAATTTCTGGAAGCTTCAGTTACTGATTTTCTTCTTAATAAAGGGCATTTTTCATAAGCAAATTCCAAATGGAGAAACCACTCTTCTTTCGTATATAGCATGGTTTTCTATAATATCCCAGGCATCTGCTGTCAAGGCACTTCCCTCGTCTTTTAAAATTAGTGGTGACTTCTTTGAAAGCAGGGATTCAGGCTTACTTACTTTGCTGCTTCATCTTCTCACACAATATCCTTCCCATAGACATGCTTAATTATTGAATGGACAGATATTGGATAAAGAGACTAGTATCTACATTTAAATCCCAGCTCTGCAATCTATTAGCAGTGTGACCTTGGTCAAGTTATTTATTTATTTTTTTTACATTTTTATTTTCTCAGTTGTAAAGTAGGAAAAATAGTTTACATGTTTGTAATAAAAATTAAACAATACACACTTATGTACACAGTACATATATATAATGCAATTAACGCAGAGCCTGCATGTGATTGAAGCTAATTAAATGTAGTTCCTCCCCAAAGAGGTTATTTGCCTTTAGATAAAATCATAGATTACTGCTATGATCTGAATGCTTGTGTCCCCAAAATGCATATGTTGAATCCTAACCCCCAAGGTGATGGTATTAGGAGGTGGGGCCTGTGGGAAGTGATTAGGTCTAACCAGGTGAATGGGATTAGTGTCCTAAAAGAGGCTAGAGAAACCTCCCTTGATCTTTCCATTTTGTGAGGACGCAGCAAAAAGACAAGCTGTCTAT